ACAGAATATGTATTAAAGTATGACTGAGTATTCTTCACTATCTATCTTTAACCTCATTAAAAACCCAAACAGATGACACACTAACAATGCAGATAAAAGGTTAGGGAACATCTGTAAGTGAACGCCACACAAGGGGCAGTGTGGTTAAGGAAGTGAATTTAAGTCCGCAAGGTTTAATACATTTAATTAAAAAATTAGAAATTAAAGTCTGCGACACCCCTTGAAAAACTGGGGACAAAAAACAAAGACCGAAAAGTATGTCAAAATTGTGTCTCTCGTGTTTTGTGTTTTCCAAATTGGTCTATACAAATAAATTTCGAATCTGAGAAAAGACTGGGTTTTAGTGTCTTATACCACATTAGCAGACAAATTTAAAAAAACACTTGCAAACCCACAGCAATTACAATCATACTATCACTCCACTATCATCAAACATGTAATTGGAGTGTGTTGCAGGCATCAACTTTAAAATTAGCTTAGTGTTAGTGGCTTAGTATTTACTTCAACTCAATAAAACCAAACACATATTTTTGAAATGCTTGTAATTAACTAGTAATTGTAAAGTAATTAAATAAGGTTTCTTAGCTGTTTTATGTACAGTATATGTAATTGACAACACACTAGTTGGTCTAGACTAGAACATCACACTATGGTAGTTGGCGATGAATGTGAACCTGATTCCTTCATGCATTCCTATACATTGTGGTGGCCACTTTTATATGAATTGGTACTTTCTGATTTATGGATTGATTGTCCACAAGAGAAGGAGACGTGGAGCCGAGAGTTTACAGGGAGCATAGCATCTCCTCTGTCTCCCTGTGTTTGGTCCCGTTTATTGAATTATACATCAGTACAACCACTGCCTCTTTTTTCTCTCCCCTCATCTCTGCCTAATTTGATCAGAGAATCTGCTGATGCAGTGTGTGCCTGCTTCATGTGAAACCAATTTGAAGCTGCACATAAAATGTGGTGTCTCTTTTACTCTTTCTCTCTTCTCCCTCTCTCTCTCTCACACACACACACACATACAGCGGGTGTGGTGTGTGTGTGTGGCGGGGGGGGGGGGGGGGGGGTTCAAAAACCTCCTTATAGATAGAATGTGGCTGCAGGACTGTATGCAGAGGACGGCAGCTGATGGCTTGTCCACAGGTGAGAGATTGGAAACTGGACACCAACGTGGCATCAGTGAGATAATACAGCATGCCTGTCATTACTGAACAATGTTTCAAAATGTGCCTGGATTATATGGTTACAACATATACACACACAGATGCACAATAATAATAATAATAATAGAAATAATAATTGTTGTTATTATTATATTTTGAATGAATGTGGTGAAAAAGACATGGATACTAAATGTTAGCAGGTTTCCTGTGGTAACACACATTATGTTTACATAAAGACATTCTTAAATTTAAAGTACTGTGGCTATCTTAACGAATTTACTATTTTGTTTTTTTTTACAAGTACAGGTTCTGGATACACAATACTTTCTGAAAGACTTGTAAAGCTTTCAAGGTTTCAGTGTGGGCACTGAGAGTTCTCTAAACAAGTTGTAATGCTACACACACACACGGTGTAGACATATGTTTAGATTTGATCTGTCAAACAGGGACATGTCTGGTCTCGTATTCCACAACATGGAAACACACACGTATGCACACGCACGCACACACAAACATGAGAGTCAGTTATGTCAAGGACAAAACCAACAGGGATTTGTGAAGTGGACAGCGTGACCCTCACAGAAACCTGGTCTCAACAATACACACTCAGAATGAAACGACCAGAAACGACACCAGTGGGCAGCGGTTAAAGAAGAGCATGATCGCTGGTTCTCAACCAAGCACTAAGTACTGGTATAATGTGAAATACTGTATATTTCAGGGTAATTATGAATCATTTTCTGGGCATTAATTAATGTAATATTGGCTTCACTCCTCAAAAACTAACTTTTAACAAATTTGTATTCATGATTTTGGCTTGAATTTAAACTATTGCTCTTTAGTTAGGTTTTAATTGAAATCTGTTACAGCTTTCTCTTGCATGTTTACTTTGTGTTGTGTTTTATGTCTATACATATGTTCTGACAAACGTTTAACCTATGCCACTGTTTTATTAAGTTTCGACTGACAGGTATTCAATTTGGGCCTACGTTTTGGTATTTAAACTTTTCGTGGGGTTGGTAAAAACAGAGATGAACCATTTTGTGGTTAAATTAATTTTATATGCTGTTTATTAGCAAACATTGCTGTTTGTGACTGTTGTAATTGATATTATTATTATGGTTAATGTAAGTTCTATATATTTTATTTAAGTGATTTTAGCCATACATGGCTATATATAAAATATAAAAACATATAACAAATCTATAAAAGGCTAAATATACACATTAGGTGTTTTATTTAAGGGTCTGATTTTGGCTACTCTTTGTTTTTGCTGTACTCCCCTCCGACAGCTAGAACTGAGGAAGACTCTTGGATGAGAGGTGAAACGTCTTCTTCTAGAAAATTCACGTCCAGTTGCCATTTTAGCTTAAATGTATCATAGTTTTTACATGGTATTAAGCTGATAACGTGAGATTAATTAGATAACACTTCTGTGCTTGTAATCTAACCACACATTTGATTGTAAGACACATGAAGACCAGAAGGTTTGACCAACATGAACTTAATGACTAGGTAAAGGCCTCTGTTAGGAGATCGTTAGGAGCCGTTTGAAAGTAACAATAAACAAAATCTATTTTCGAGTGATTGTAGACTTAGATCACATTAAAACTTGTAGACACAGAGACACAGGAGTAGAGGAGATTTACAGTGTCACCACTAAAATAGATAAATGGAAATGAGACAGTGTAAATTTGACAGGGAGGTTGCAGGCTTAGAATAAAGAGGCTCTGCTGGCTTACTGATTCCCATCATTCCTCTCTTCACTTTAAATTCCCATCTATATGCGAGCAAGGGATTTACAAGAAACAGGTTCAAGCCCAAGTCCAAGTCCAGTCAAGCGTGTTTCAAAATGACATGAGAGCATCTGCAGAACCGGATCAAATTGTACACAGACAACTACAGACTTTGATTGTCATCGTTCCATTAAGTTTCCATGCACAAAATTCTCTGTGAGACACATGTCATTCTGTTCCCATAAAGAATAACAACAAAACGGACTGTATACTGTACACACAGTTTTTCCCATCTGCAGTGCCTGAACTTTCCCACAGCCAAACCGAACATGGCTGGGACGTATAAAGTCTAAAGGAAAACGTTTTCTCCAGCCCAGATATTTGCACCACTAGGACTCTCATAGAAGAAAGCGATAGCCAGGGGACTTTTTTAGAGACCCTGCTGCTGGAACGCACAAGGCCACTGCCAACATAAACCCCCCCGAGGCTGTGGGCCACTGCATCAGAGGAGAGGCCGTCCCCTCAGCCCTGGATACCTGGACATGGTTCCTGCTGGAAGTCAAACAGACGAATGAGCACCGAGTGGAAACCTTTTAGAGAGAATGCTTTGCATGAGTGATGTATATCTGTGACAGCTGAGTCCTGAGCCTGTGGCTGTGGAGTGGTTTCCATTAAGGCAGGGCTGCATATGCTGCAGTCAGAGAAATGCAGCCACTCCTGTTTGTCTAGCTGCGTGACAAATGTGAATGTTGGTTTCTTTACTCTGACACTTTTATCTCTGAGTGTTGCATTGGCTCCTTTCTTCCATGATGGATGTAGGAGTTATGGACTTGAAGAAATGATATCTTTCTATTACTGAAATCATGCATGAGTGAATGTGCCCCTCTACTTATTAGGTACATGAAAAAAATGATTGTAGAACGGATGGATTCATTTATAATTAATGCGGAAATAATTGTACTTTATTTTCAAAACAAAAGACAAAAATCTGACAGGAAAAGATTATTTAACAGCCCCCCCCCCAAAAAAAAGTGGTTTGCTGTTTCAGCAAATAAACAAAGGTATTACAGTAAAATCCAATGAAAACAGATCGAAAACTCTAAATTTAGCAAAGTCTGTGGGAGAAACCAACCGTGAAATACAGAGCTGACGTGTTTCTACCGTCGACCTCACTAGTAATGATGCAAATAAATACAATAATAATAGGGTTAACGAGTCGGCTGCTCGTGATGTTTATCTAAAGCATGAAATGATAGAATGGGTTGACATTAATTCCAGAAGTTAAAACCAAACGTCACTAAAGGATACTTTTTTTTATCACATGAAAACAACACTGAAAAAAATCCTACAGATGTTTGGGTTTTGTATGAAGCGAAACTAGAACTCACACACACCAGCAGACGTAGTGTTTGTACCGAAGGACGGAGCGGCAGCCATACAACAGACATGTCCAAAATCTGGGCCTCGGCCCAAATGTGGAACTTTGACCAGTTTTATATGACCTAAAACCTATTTTATTACAATTATTTTGGTATCTGGTTGGGCTCCTCCCTTTTTTAAGCAAAATGTGCGTGAAAATTAATCTGCATTCTTTTATATTCAAATATATTATAAAAGACAGTTTTTCCTGCTTTATTAATAAAATGTTCACATCAACTATGACCACATCTTTTGTGCAAATCCATTGGTTCATGCAATTTATTTATAATTCTTTTTGACATTTTTATGAAATGAAAATAGCATGTTTTGGAAGACGTTTACCCGACTTTGGAAGAATTACCACTTTAACAAAAGCAGTTGTTGTTGCACTTGTGTCAAATTCGATGCATTAGTTTGTAATTTTAGTTCAGTCTTATTGAATCGGATTTTTCTTTTAAAAATAAAAGGTGGTCAGCCCCGGACTGAACCATTTCACTGTTCCCTTCCGTTTTAAATGATCGGTTTAGTTTGGGAATAAAACCATAGTAAGAATATAAGATATGGCTTTTGTTGAAAATGAACCGTGCAGATTATCTTATATAATTTAATCTGTATTACATTTACGTTTCAACCAACGTCCACATATGTGGTCTCCATTATGAATCAGGCCCGTGCCTCGAATTAATTCGTTAATTGAGAAGAAAACAAATAATAATAGAAAAAACAAAGATGAATATAGAGAACAATAAGTAAAATAAATATAGAAAAAAGATTAAAAGAAGGAAAGGGGGAATAAATTAGAAACGATAGCTAGTTCCACTTATTGAACACTTTTCGTTTCAGACATTTAAAATAAAAACAAAATGACCACGACAACGACGAGCACAATAATAACAGTGATAATAACAATAGGCATAGCACGAATTTTATTCATCATCATTTTTCTCACGAAATATTTTCTCATTTAATTTAACTGAACGAAAACCCATCCAGTCTGAGTGCTGACGTCAAAAGGTGCTTTAACAGCTTCAATTTAGATTTTTACGGACATGACGACAAAGGACATCGCAGTCGTGACGTTTTAATACGTATCGTAAGTAAATTTGTATTAATTTCACGTCAAAACACGTATTCTCACAGGGGGACGTCAGACACGTTATGATACGACAAAAAAAAAAAAAAAACGAGAAAAATTGTTGCCGGATATTTATGATTATTGTGGGTTCTCTTTTTTGGATGTTGTTGTTGCTCGAAAGGTTTTCATTTAACCAACACTGGGTGCACAGTCGTACTCAGTCTGTCTGTGTGCGTTAAAGAATGAAAAATCAAATGAAACGGCTTTAAGCTTGTCGTAAAGAGTGGCGCGGCAAAGTGAGATGTGAATGTCTTCATCCTTCCACATAGAGGGCAGCAATCAAAGCTCTTGTCTTCTTCCTCTTATTACATTAATGTCATGTGTTCCGTGTCCCGCGCGTTTTACGCAGCAAAACGTTGCCCACTCCTGAGCTTGACCTCCCATTTCTGCTGCTGCCGCACTATAACACAGGCTGCAGCCCACTGTGGGCCCGTTCTTCACATGGTGCACATCCATGTGCCAGAAGGTTGGGGTGTGTGTGAGTGTGTGAGGCTGAGTGTGTGTGTCTGCACGGGCTACTGAGGCGGGCATCAGTTTGAGCAAGGCATTTCTCTTTACCCCGACAAACCTTCAGGGGGCTTTTAGCATTTGTTCAGTCTGCAGTCTCTGGAAAACATCTGATTCATTTTTTAAACAGTCCCAGATGCTGCACTGAGTGTGTGTTGGAGTGTGCGTGTGTGTTGGAGTGCATGAGATTTTCTGCTGTATCTAGAGAAGGGGTGGGAAAGACAAACCGTGTGGATTTTTTTTTTTTTTTTTTTTGAAATATCACTTTTGAAGAATGAACGCAGATACGTGCGTCTCATACTGCGATATGACATCCATGGATTCATATTATAGCTCGTCCACAGCGCAGGGTAGAGATCACCAGGCCAACACGTTCAGGACTTTCCCGGCGTCTGAGAGCAAGTACAGCCCGACCTTCGTGTCTGGTAAAGGGCAGCTGTACGGGGAGAAGTCTCGGAGCCCATTCCAGTCGGAGTGCCAGTCGCTGGATGGCGCCGAGGAGAACACGTTCAGCAAATACCAGCTCTTCATGCAACGACCGACCTGCAAAACTCCACCCGAAGGAAGCAAGCTGCACCCGGACAGCGGCCACAACGGAGCCCTCATGCCCTGCTACGGTGAGTGCACGCGCGCAAGGCGGTCGTAAAGGCGCACGGTGCCAGTGAGAAACTATACCAAAACGAGGGTAAAGAGACAGAGGGAGTGTGTGAAAAAAGAACTGCAAAAGATTTCCTGTGATTTCAAACGCACGTTAGTGTGTGTTATTGAGAGATGGAGAAGGAGGAGTTGGGGGTGGGAAGGGGGGATGCAGAGGTTTCTCTAACATCGACCTTACTTTACTGTAACAAAGAAGTAAATTATAGAAAAACATATAATTTTTTATTTGTGTACCTATATAATGTTTTTACATTATATACATAAGTAATATAAATAAACAATGGAAAACACAGGTCAGTGCTTTGATCATTTAGATTTTTAAAATAACATATCTATATATATCTATATATATATATAGATATATATATAGCAAAACATAGCAGAATAAATGTGATCAATCACTATTCACATAATTGGTGACGAAGGCGCGTATACACAAGGATAAAGTCTGAAAAAAACAAGCAAAGAATTTAAACCAAATGAAAAAATCAAGTGTAAATATAGAGAAGATTAAACGTGATTTTTTGTGGAATATATCTCCCTAGAACAATTTTTAAATTACTAAGATTAACTGCTGACTTTGAAAGCCAATCCGACTCACAGAAATGACCTTATACAGAGAACGGAGGCCAAAAATCCGCACGGCCAATTGACTGATTTTATTAAACATGTACTGACCATTTAAATAGCTCCGACTATGGCCTGTATCATCAAGGCCTTTTAAAGACAACAATCCATTTTACTGTGCATTTTATGAGACGCTGGGCTTTAAATCAGAAACAATGGAAACGTGTTACTCTGTTAATAATGTTCTCATTTCAGCATTTTCTTTAGTCACTGTGGCCAAGCCTTTTTGGGTGCCCATTTATAATATATTTTAGAATTTTTACGCAACAGCCTTTGCGATTTACAATGACCTTAATAGAGAGTAAATTAATCTTCATTTACAGAGGCCAATTACAGGTGGAGTTGCAGTATGCGTCATACTTTGCCAAAATTCCTCCGTAAAAGTTCCGTTTGTCCTGCTCTTATGTGCAGAGTCACCCGCAGACCGGTGCACCAATGCATTGAAGTGAATTGTTTTGGCAAGTGCATTGACAGAGCCGTTTAAACACCGTCATTAAATGCGACATGCCTCCCTCGAGGACGGCTCTGCGATGTTATTATTGAAAATGTTGCAGCCAGATGAAGGCATCATGGCTCTGGGGAGGATACTTTGGGGTCTTGCCAAAGCCTCAGGCGTCAACAGGCTTGAATGTTACGTGTGGTCCTCAATGGGAGATATATTGCTCAATGCGAATGGTTTATCTCCACAACGATGACAAAAGTCCTCTCTCATCCACAGAGAGTTCTCTGTGCGGTATCCTGGGCTACGATTGTGCTATTGACGTCAACAAAACAATTTTAAACTGCGTCTGCATAGATAGGACAAATGTGTTGAGAAAAAAATATCAGATTAAAAATTTAAAAAACTTCGACAAAAAAAAAAAACTATATTACCAAATCGCTATTATTTAAAAGGATGCAATTCAATGAGTTAAAGTACAGGTGAACGTTTACTGCAGTAGAAACCTATAACTAATAATTCTACCATTACACTACACTCACCACCATTTTCTTGTTCGGAGTAAAATTACTTCATTCTAATTCAATAGTGTTATTGTATTATTACCTATACATTCTTGATACGTTTGAATGTAAACTATCAGGATTAGGTTACACAAGGAAAATACGTAAACACTATAAATAAAATATGTGACAACTATAGTAATAAAAAATGAAATAGCGATAGAGATAGAGAATGAGAAATTTGTCAGCTGCAGGAAACTAAAGCGGTTTCTTGCAAAATAGGTAACATAAAAATATAGAAAGGCAAAAAACCAACTGAAATCCAATCAAAAATAGCTGATTGTTAATGCACAATAAGATATTCACCAAGGATTTTTCAAAAGGGTAATACATATCACACAGGGCCAATATAAGGGTCAGGGTCAAATATAGGCCATGACTAATATTGAGCGGTCCATGAAGACCTCAAAGAAAAACAAAACTAACATCAGAAATCTATATACTGTATATATATATATATAAAGCTATTTATGTTTTCACATACGTACATTTAAACCTAGTATTAATTGTAGAGACCAATTTGTAAAGTTTTGATTTTTTCATATTAATACTTCATACCTCTTACACTTAGACTAAAGAAACAGACAAAACCAATTCCAAAAACCTAAAAAATAAAAAGATAGGAGCAGAGAATGATTTACGCTATTACACTGTTTGAACGGGAGACTAATATAAAACAGTACTTGTACATCAGTTATTTTAAGTGTTTTATTGCTATGACTTCTGTAGAGCTTCTAACACCTTAATACTTCCAAACGTAGATTTTTAAAAAAAAAGAATTCTAATGATTTTTTCTTAAAGGGCAATTGATTATCAAAGAAGTACAAATTGAATCTGCGCGCACTCGGACTCTGTCATAGAAAGACAAGTGTTTTCTAGTTGGATATACGCTGGCACTATAGGAAAAGGTTCTTACATTTGCCTTCATTCAATCAATGATGAACAAGGTAAAAAACAACACCACCATGGATGTTGGCGTTCATATGGTAGGTTTTGTTAGGTAATTTCAAGAGCGTCTGTGTTGTGACTCTAAGGTACAGTACCTGGTACTACAGTAGAGGAGAACCTTTCGTCCGTTCCTATGTTGTTAGCCCCATCTCTCATACAGTCCATACTCATCAGTGAGACTGTCCCACTGTGCACGCGGGCACTGAGCTGTCTACCTGCTCACGCAGCGATGACTGAAACAAAACCCCTGGAGCTGATGGACTGCTGAGGAATGCAGGTCAGCGCTGCAGGAGAGGGCTGCATTAATCCAAGGCAGATGTGTATTACTGCCTCTTATAGTTATTAATCATACTCCCCAAACATCGGCCCTGCAAAGAGTCACTGAGATGACAAAGTGGACTGGTTTACATAACCCTGTCTCAACAATACCTCCTTCAAACGATCAAAGAGTCAGAAATGGACAGTGGTATTAGGTAATGATTTCAGAGAGAGTTTTGGAAAAACTGGGGCAACTGAGAGTGTTTACATAAACAGAAATCTACGAGTTTATAAACGGGGGCCTGTATTGCACTGAATGTGAATTTTTCTCTTCCGTTGATTTTATTTTATTTAGTGTCCTGTGATTCTTTCTAAATATTCTAAAACTAAATATGAAAAATATTAAATTATAAAGTTAGTCAACAAATGAGGAAAAACACATCTCACCGCATAAAAAAACGCCTAAAACTCACCCCTGAAAAAGTTCACAGAATGAAAAGCTTTCTGTTAAAATACAATGCACTAAGTACACATTAAAGTTCTGGGTCATGTGACGTCACAAGATACGCATGCGCTGATGGCTAACACGTTGGCTTCATGTTCACATTAGACAAATGCTGCACGTGACACCTGTGACTGTGTCAGCATGAACATAATCTAGAATATAATCCGAGAGAATGACAGAGGAATAAAAAAAAAACATGGATTTGTCAAAGTTAATTTGAAATCCAAATACGCTTGTAAATGATCTTCTGTTTTGACTTGTCCAGCTAATACAAAAGGTGTTTACTTTCTGAGAGAAAGCAGGTTTTTCTGATCTCAATGCAGTTGACAGATTTCTGGAAATATCCAATGTTACAATTCTTCAGATATTTGATAGGAAGACATATTTTCTGTAGGATTACTATTTTTAATTTAACTGTATCCTGCTTATTGCTAACAACTGCTAAACAAGATGAAAGTACAGTATGACACAGAGCAGCTCATTTTTTCTTGGAGATGTTTGCTAAATGACAGCACTGAGTGTCCAGCTATCATTGTTGAGTGGCAGTGTCTGTGCCGAAGACTGTTTGTTGTAAACACACGTCGGCTAAAGCGCCTCATGACAGATTAAATGTGATAGTGGAATGTATTCATGACTTTCAGACAAAAGGCTGAGGTTTAAACGATGATTGATTACATGCATTTGAGTCACTTTTGATTCGACTTCTTTCTTTTTAGGCACCACTTTTTAATTTAATGGTTCTCGTCAAACCGTAAGAATTTATTTCATCTCTGTTTAATGCGTATTTCTGAGGAATATGCGTTAAACAAGGATGAAGTAAATTTATAGTATATGCCACCCCTCCATTTACGTATGCCGGAATATATACTTGAAATTTTCTATTTTACTTTTAGAGAATTTTAACAGAATACAGTGACGACTAACACCCAGGGTATTATACCAGTAGTGAGGTCATGATTGTATCAATTTATCAGGAGCTGAGGTTGAACAGAAAGAGATTTTTTTTTTTTGTGGTTTCCCAGGGAAACGGCATTCCAGAGTGAGCTGCTGACATAGATCCCTCCTCAGGAACATCTGGGAGCCTCCCTTTCACTAAGGAAACAACAGTCAACATCAGGATTTAGACTGGGCCAAGAGAAAAATAATGCAACACTTGACCTGTCTGTAGAGCATGCTCTGAAGATGAAATTTAAAACTACCTGACGAGAACAAAAGAATAAAAGACAGTGGATTGATTTAATAAATTCCAGTGACGTCTTTTAACAGTCGCAGAAGCGATAACTTAGCAAAACCCCTGATACTGAAGAATATGGAAGCCCATATCAAACACAGGCACAGAGAGACAGTAAATTGTATTTTAAAGCATGTATTTAGTCCATAACGTAGAGCTTTGTTTGGTAAGAGATGTAACATGACCACTGGTTTTAGATATGTTTTGGTTGTATACAACATTTTTATGATACAATTCAGTAAAACTACAGAAAAACACTAAATATTAACAAAATGATATCAAAATATAAAACCATTAAAAAAATTGCAATCAAAAGAACAAAAGAAATTAAATGTTTGACCATTCATTAGCTAAATTTTGTCAAAAAATACAGCAGAAAAACCCCAACTTTAACTAAAGCAGCTTATAGTAAGATGTTTTAGAGCTAAATATTAGCAAGAGGATTGGATAAAATTAAAGGAAAATATCTGAATTATACCTAAAACATTTTTCACAGAGGCACCAAAATCTCTGCTCTGTAAACCCATCCCTTGCTGACAGGCCATAAAAAATCATTTTAACAAAAAGTCATGGACCACATAAATCTTGTCCAAGTGCTACAATTAGCCCCAGGGCCAGACTTTGGACATGCTTGGTGAATATTGTATAAAGGTGTGATAATAAGGGCTCAGTCTGTGCAGCATGCAGCCAGCAGCTTTTGCTGTTCAGCGAGAACATTTAAAAGCACTCTTTTTAAAAGCATTCCCTTCTCTTTTTAGTGTTTGGCCATTAACCCTTCCCTGGGTTACTAATTTATAGTGTTTCTTTTATTTGGCTTCACTTGACCCTCCCTGTCCCATTCCATAAAAACTGAGAGGGTGCCCTGTTGCTTTACAAGCATTTAAATTACACTTTGATGTTTTCTCTCTGTTTTCAGCAGTGATTAAATTGCTGACCCTAGTAAACATCTGACCTCACCTAACTGAAGAGGTCTGCAGCATGTCACAGACTCACTCTGGCAAACTTCACGATCAGCTGTGGCGCTCTTGTACGTATATATATATATATAGATAAATATATATAGATAAATATATATAGATAAATATATATAGATAAATATATATAGATAAATATATATAGATAAATATATATAGATAAATATATATAGATAAATATATATAGATAAATATATATAGATAAATATATATAGATAAATATATATAGATAAATACTGTGACGAGAGCAGTCAAAAACGAATTCCTCTGAACGCTACAAAACCTGGAGCCAGTGCAGTGGAATTTTGGCTGCAAAAAGAAAGCGAGTGTGTGGTAACAGTGTTCTCCAGAACAGCATGTAGAAGAGACAGCTCAGCATGCGGGAGTGCTGGAAGATGTTTGTGGCAAAGGATTACATGGTTAGCGTGAGAGAAAAGAGTTGGGAGTATCAGATGGAGAAAAGTTGGTAATTACTGTAGATTCCAGTGTTAATGGAGTAAAGAGTTCCCAGTGTTGGTGCTGCTACAGGAGGGTCAGACATTAAAAAAGCTCATAGCTCAACAGGTTAAAGCTGACGTTGTGAGACCCAGCGTAGTGGAAATAACCTGAAGTCATAATGATTTTTTTAACGGGGTTTGAATGTGTTTGGGCTTCTGTAACAAAACTGTTGTCTACCAAAAATGTGCACTCTCTTCTACAGTTCCTGTTGTGGTTGTTTGGTCAACACAGTGACAATCCTTTGACCGATAGTGTTTTTTCGCATTTCTAAAAACATGCTCAGTAGCACTGTATTTTAGTGGTGCTCAGTTTAAATAGTTCCACTACAGTTAGAATGATGAAAGGTCAACAAGGCTGCCATTCTACATTGTTATGCCAACGACAGGACAGCACACAGGCGACAGCAGCCCACACCTACTGAGTTGCAACAAACTGGCTGATACTAATCAATCATCAGCATTCTGTTCCATTGATCCAGAGCACTACAAGGAATCAGAAACAACCAACAGAATTATATTTACATTTAACAGAGGAAATTATTCACAATCTTACCAATAAGACTTTCTCATCACAAAACAATGCTGTGGTTGTTGTGGTACGAAGGCAATGGTGATCACTCAGGCTTTGACTGAGTCACCTGGACGTTTAGGGAAGTTAGTAGTAGTTGGCTTTTCTGTCAGGTCTACAAGTAAGTGTTTTTATTTCTTATTATTTCTTATTTATTCTGAGGGGGGTGTGGTTATTCCTAGGGTAGCAGCAGCACCCCCCCCAAGTCCTTTACTTGTGCCACCTAATAGGCACACATTTTATTTTCTGTGATGTCACACTTATTAACAGAACATTAACACATTAACAGGCTTTTTTATCTTAAATTTTTCAAGTTGAGAAGAATAAATTGTATTTTATTTCATTGCATTTTAAATGTATTAAAGAACAAATCAACTAACTAACAAAAAACCCATCTCCTTACTTACATTCAGCTGGTAACTTTGCCAAACAGGATATACAGCACACCTT